GAGAGAGAGAGAGAGAGAGAGAGAGAGAGAGAGAGAGAGAGAGAGAGAGAGAGAGAGAGAGAGAGAGAGAGAGAGAGAGAGAGAGAGGGCAAGAACTTAGGAAGCAGATGTCATGAGGGCACTGGCTACCAAAGAGAGAGAAAGAACATCTTGACAGACGTTCATTTCATTTTATGTTATTTTATTTTGTTTCATTTCAAGTGATTTTCTCTTTTTCAAGTTTTTCTTTATTTGTTTACTTATCTAAGAAGAGGTTGCCCTCAACAGAACAGGATTCAAACTCCTGATCTACTACAGTCTTCCTCCGAACACAACGTCGGGAGAAGAGAGTAGTCAGTAACTTGTGCATACCATGCAGCCACCTAGCTACATATATCTACAGTCACAAGAGAGAGAGGATGCGAAGCCCTCTAACCTAAACCAATGTTGGAGGGACCTGGGTTGGGCACCCGACGACCGTCTTCCCCCTAACACAACGCACACTCATTATGGCTATCCCGAACCGGCAAAAAAAAAGATAGGGTTGTATGCATTCATTATCAGGCCAGGTTACGTGCACCTGACGACTGTCTATCCCCTAACACAACGCACACTCATTATGGCTGTACCGAACCGGAAAGATAGCTTGTATACATTCATTACCAGGGCGGGTTTTGTTCGAGGGTAGGACGGAGGTTAGAGGTGTCCGCAGGGGGATGAAACCACAGGAATTTGTCAGCACAGGTTGTTCTATTCGCCTTCGACCCGCCCCGGGTTTAGGGTTTCAACCCTAAACCCTAAACCCTATGGCATGATTGGTACCACAAAGTTGCTGTCCCCTACGGACAGCTGTCCATCATCTCAAGTCATAAGGACCAGCTTTTGCAGCCGATAAGAAGATGTGTAACACACTCTCCCCTCTGGGTTTTCTCTATCCTCCCTCCAAGATGAGATATAGCTCCTTCATAGCAAAAGCTCAGTCTCCTTGTTATGACGTGGCATCATACCAGAAGATCCCTCAAAGCCCCCTCTAGACCTTTTTCACATCATAGAGCCTCCCCAAGCCGGCAGATAAAGTACGGACACTGGCCAACTCTCGGGCATCCTTGCGATAGATGAGATGTCATGTCAACATGTCAGCAGCGCGCATTGCAGCGGTGTGATGCTCAGCATGTGCTGATTTAGAACTTACCTGGCATAATTATGTGCTTGTGAGTGACAGCAGAACCTACAAAAGGCCTTGCTTGGCAATACACAGTGTTGACCCATCACCTACTGGCT